AATATACTATCATTTAAACATATTATTCATCAATACCACAGGTAAAATAATTAAGCAAAGAAGCCAATAAGTGCATAGACTATTTTGCATCTATGTCTTCTAAACATAAATAAAATTTATATTTTTTTATACAGCACAATTATTATTTTATTTAACATTGTATGTCTTACTCAGAATTTTATTCAATAGAAATGGTAATTTTGGAAATTTGATGGACAGGATGCGAATCAATTCTTTAAGTGTCCTGTCCGTTGCGAACGTTGGCTATTAACATGGCAATTTTGATCTTGTTTGCGGCGCTTCTGAATAGTTCGACCGATGTGAGCCCGAACCACTTCCGCAGATTTTGGAGCCACGAGTGTCTTCTCCTGCCTGACCCTCGCTTACTGTCTATTTTTCTCTGGACAATCAATTGTAGCAGACGGTACTTATCGTGTCTCAATATGTTGCCTAGATATTCAAGCTTTCTTTGTTTAATTGTATTCACGATTTCTTTCTCCTTTCCGATTCTTTGGAGTACCTCTATGTTGGTGACATGTTCGGTCCAGGATATACGAAGAATGCGTCGGTACACCCACATTTCAAATGCTTCTAGTTTTCTCTTTAGCGTCTCCGTCAGCGTCCAGGCCTCCACGCCATACAGCAAGATCAGAAAAATGTAGCATTTAACTATACGTAGTTTTAGGGAAAGAGAGAAATCCTTGCTAATGATGAGCTTTTTCATACTGCTAAATGCTGCTCTAGCTCGTTATATTCTCGCCTTAATTTCTATGGTCTGTTCCCATTTTACATTTACGTTGGTGCCAAGGTACACATAAGATTCTACATGGTTAATTAGTATGTTACTTATCCGTAATTGTCGAGCAGGTTGTTGCTTTTTGCTTATCAGCATCCACTTTGTTTTCTTGAAGTTGAGGCTCAGGCCGTATTCCTCACTAACTGAATAAAGTATTTTCATTACTTGTTGTAATTCGTATATGGTACTGGCAAGGATCACCGTGTCGTCGGCATATCTTATATTGTTCGTTAACTCGCCGTTTATTTTTATGCCCTCATTTGCATTTTCCATACATTTGTTAAATATTTCCTCGGAATACATATTGAATAGGAGTGGGGATAATATTTGTGGGAATGCGAATCACTACTAGTATTTATATAGTTATACCTATCTATAACTTCAAATGAAACTATTATAAAAAAAATGGAATAGATAACAAATAAAACTCTATCAAAAGATGCGAAAGGATGAATTAATTTAATAACAGAACCGTCGATAATGATACATTTGAATTGCATGATACATACGTAGAAATAATTTCTTTTAAAAAAGGGAAGATTTGATAAATGAAAGATAAATACTAGAAGAAGAAGGGACAGCAAAATATTTATAGTTCACTGATATTAACAAAATTATCATAAATATATAGTAATAACAAAAAACAAACCAAAAATACGGCAAGGTGAAGTGAAAAATTTAAAATACGAAAGATATGAAATGGTGAAAACCAAACCTTTTGACCTATTTTTTTTTAAGTTTGGCGCTTTGTCTCCAGTACTCCATTTCTAGGTATGTTATTGTTACACCCAAGTATTTAAAGGATAAGCAATGCTAAATAATAAATTTTTCTGTAGCAAGATCTTGCATGTTTTCTTATTTTTATCGCCAATTCGCCAATTACTATCTATTTGGTTTTATGTATATTTACTGTTAATCTCTATTTCTCTCAAACAGTTTTCTAAGCATATAGCTTAAGTCGATAGTATTTGTAGATATTGGTGCTAGACCGTTCGTGAACAGAAGAAAGTATATTGTGTCATTTCTCAGTGTTATTTTCCCATTTGGCCACATTTCCGTCGCCATATTTTAAGAGCTTCTTCCAGGTATCGTTTGAACAATAGCAGCGCTAAGCAACATCCCTGTCTTAAACCTTTTATCATCATTATTAGCTCTACAAGCCATAGTAGGTCTTGACTTGTTCTACGATCAGCTTCCATTCCTTCCTATCTTTCGCCTAGGTTTTCCTATTTCGTACTATTAACACTCGTACGACCTCGTCTATCTAGTCCTTAACTCGTGCTCTGACCTGCCTCTTCACTCCATCCGGTATTTGGTTATAAATGTGTTTTAACGGTTCCATGTGGTTTATTCTTTTCAAGTAGCCTATCCAGCGCAACTTGTTTATTTTAATGTAACAAGTAATATTAAGTTATAAAAGAAATTGATCATATATACAGGTACGGAATTTTCGCAAATAAAAAACATGAATTTCGCATTTACTTTTTTATAATTACAAAATTTCACATTTGTTTTTAACTACCAGTAAAAAAACAAAAGACTACAGATGCTCTATAATGCTACTTTAGCAAATGATGTAAAACTGCACTGTATAGCAAGCAAAATATCCTTCACATTGGGATCTTCGTTCCTTAGTATCGATTGAAGGAATAATCTATTAAATAGAGTATATCCATCTATGTACTCCAATTGTGTCATTGTTGTAAAAAAAGGAATTTTAGAAAAGCTTTCTGAGAGTACACTTGGGTTCACAGTAAAACTTGCAGCTATTTCAGTGAGCAATCGGGATGTTTTTACGTCAAAATAACCTTGGCGAGGATGTTCAAGTGACGATTTTAAGTCCTCTAATTTGTTCCATAAAAGATGGACGAATGAATAACTGGATCCTTATAAATCATCTATTAGTTTTATTAATTTTGGACAGAACTCGGTGGTGAAGGTCATTTGAATTTCTAGTTTACGCCTGAAAGTTTCATCGGCGTAATTGTCTTTGAGAAATTTCATACTGGAATTTTCATTCTCCCACACATCAAAAAAATTGAGTATGTGATATAGATATGCACTTAGATGCGATACTACTGAGAACCAAGACTTCCATCTAGTTACAACTGGTGCTGGATCAAATAATTCAAATAAGATTTCTTTATTTTTATTGGAAGACAAAAGGCTGAATTGACTTTTGCTGTATGCATGTTGAACTCCTTGAACTCTGCTACAAAAACATCACCAAGATTAACTTTATGAGCTTAACATTGGTAATGTAAAATATGTTTCCCTATTAGAATTTTTGATAGGTTAAAGCAAGCAGACATGAATCTTGCTGAATCTGATACCAGGCCTTTAACTTGTGAATAATCAAGTCTTTTATGTACTTATTATCGTCTGTGAACACGTTGATGCATTTTAAGTATCAAGGAAGTTAACACTTGATAAAAAACATTCTTGATGTAGTGCAGAATCTATAGTTCTGAAGAGAATAGCAAAAACACATCTTCCTTGTGTCCATCCGAGGTTTCGTCTAATACTATTACAATGGGCTTGTCTTTCAGCTATTGTTTTATATTGGCTTTTTCAGACAGCCCACACCGTGGCACTTCTTTTCTCCTTAAACTGTCCGCACATGGAAGAGCATCCGACCCCGGCACATATTTAGCAATATATTCACGCACAGCTGGATGATCCAAGTGTAATGTTGGCTTTCAGACCAACTGTATCCTCTCTCAAAACCACTAGCAAATGACATTTGTCGCTTAGTTCCTGAAGTAGATGCTATATAATTTTTCTTGTTAATGTAGTTAGTCGACTTCACATGTTTCTGTAGTGTGTCCTTTTTATCACCTTCCAAACGAGTATTGCAACACATATTACTTACATATTTACTATTACTTACATATCACAATACTTGTGTCACATAGATATAAGCCATCTCTTGCAAATTATTTGACTCGATCACTCAAATTGTTTTAGGGTATCCCATTTAAGGGGATACTTTAAGTACTTGTTTTACTATGAAAACTTTTTTGATAGACTATGTTCTCACTCAGTAAAGATTGACGGAATGTGCACTGATTGTCCTGGTTGACTAATTTATATGTTTAGAACATTTTTATCAATATTTTATTAGATTTTTATCAATAGAAAAGACCGAAATGCAGATAACAACTGTCGGCTTATTTATATTTCTCACAGAATCAATATTAAAAAATATCAATTTCTTATCTCATCTTTATCTATTTAATGATGAACAATGAAAGATCGTTCTATTTCAACACGTGTTACAACAATAAAAAATCCTTTCATAAATTACAATAAAAAACTTTCCGTAAAATCTTTCCATACCTTCGTAACTACCTAACTATTTAGGGGTGAGTTGAGCATCTGCAGATATTTCGCGAAAGTAAACAAAAACCAAAAAACTTCGCCGAAATTCGCATCTATTTCGTAAAACCGAAAATTCCGTACCCCTAATCATATGGTAACGTAGGACTCTACTGGGGTTGCTAGTCTTTAGACGAAGTATCTGTGAGGACTGGTGAAGTGCTATCAAGAAGTCCTCACAGACACTTCGTCTAAGGAGTAGCAACCCCAGTGGAGTTCTTCCTATGTCATGGCCGTACTTCCTGTATATAATTTTGTTCGCTGTGATATATTTAGTTTTCTTCAATGTTGAGTTTTAATCCATACTGATCACAGGTTTGCTTTATTTTGTTCATTAGATTTTGACGGTCTTCTTCTGACTGTAATTAGCAAGTACAAATGTATTGTCGGCATACCTAATATTGCTTAAGGTGAATTTATATATTTTATGGTGAATATATATGAACGCACATAATGAACTGAAGGGGAGTATTTAATGCACACCGTAGTTTTTTATGGAAGTAGTAGGTAAGGTATTGACAATGTAGATACTTTTTATAGTATCCAATATAGCAATAATATACCGAAAAATTATACTGATAATTATTTGCAATTTTTAGAAAAAGGGTTTTTACGCATATATCGGTCATAATAAAAGGTTGTAAGTATTTTTTAAGCATTTACTGGTATGATGTATCAGAATAGAAATTCAATTTATATTCTATATATCACCTAATCGTAATTATCTGTTTAATGGATTGGAAAATATAAATTAAGAGAAAATTAATACCAATTAAATATTAATTACGCCAACTAAATTTTTTAGATAAGTTGAATACAAACTTACAATTTTCATCGTTGTACATTTTGGTTATGTTAGCATCATCAATGTTTTGTCCTAACATAGAGTTAACTAATTTTTCGATAAAATCTTGAACTTGTTCCTTACTTTTTTGAACATGATCCACATTTTTTACTTGACTAGATTCCATAACATTATTAGAATCCATAGAAAAATCTAAAAAATAAGAATGACAAATAAAGAGTTTTATAGTAATTATTTGTGGTATATTTCAAACAAGATATTTAGTTAAAAAAAAAATATTCTAACAATGCAAAAATTTTTAGAAAAACAGAAACGAAAATTAGGTTTTTACATATCTTTGTATAAGTGAAAATCTATAGGTATAGTCAATTGTTTTTCTAATTTAAAACATTAATTTAAGAACTAGAAGAGATAATAGAAGATTAAAATTCTGTCTAGTCTCTGTGCAAAGAGGTCTTCATGTTCGATATTTTAATTAATGTCAAACTATACTAGAAAGAAATAGATTGTGCAAGATAGTCCTTAAAATGCTTAAATTTCAGGAATAGAAATTATTTAATATTTTTACTATATTTAAAAAACTGTAACATTTGTGTTAAAAATGAGACCGGAAATTGCTTTAAAAAGTAGGATGTTTATGCAGTTGGGATAAAAAAACAGTTACAGAAATAAAGAAACGACATAATTAGAAAAGAAATGTAATATGCTAAAATGAACATAGTCTTTAAAGGCTAGTTCACCGATTTAATTTAAGAGCAAAAGAATGCCGATATCAACTTAAGTAAAACTAAAACAATAGTAATCAGTAAAGAACCAGTAAGATACAAACTGGAAGTCGATGGACTTAGAATTAAATACGTAATAAAAATAAAGTACCCAGGGATTACAATTTTCAGCTATGAGAAATATGAGGTAAAATCAATAATCTATAAGGTCAATATAACATCATAAACAAGACTTGACACAGCCAAAATACAGAAAATGGTAGAAAGAGCAGAAATGAAATACTTACGAGAATTACAAGAAACACGCAGAGGGAACGAATAAGGAGAGTCGAGATCAGAAAAAAAAAGCGAATTACAGGGTATAAACGAGTAGACACTACATAGAAATAAAGAATGAAACCATCACATTACTAGATTTGCGAACAGAAAAGTCGTTAAAATAGTGTGGAACAAATCACCAACTGTAGAAGAATTATCGCTTTACCGCGCAAGAGATAAAGTAACAATCATCCATAAAGGCAACAACCTGCCAATGAACTAGCAAAATTACTTATATAAAGGAAAGAGAAGAGGAAGATATATTCTGAATATACAATATAACGTTTCATTCAACCAATTGAACGTGACACCAAGCTCCGCTTGGTACTTATCCCACGTACTATATTTTCAAAGCGATCTCACTAATTTATAAATATTTTTAGTAGCCGTTCCACTCTATATAAGCCAATACGAATTTTTATTCGCTCTCTTTAGTCTTATCACTACAATAATTCTTAATGTATTTATAGTCATACAAATTGGTTAGTGTTTTGGAAAAATACACGAGTAAGTATCTTTTTGTAGTTTTAGGCCTCTGTTTTTTACTTGTTTTCTTTTTCGTAGCTGATACTTTCTTTCTTAAAATAAAGCTGAAAACATTGTAACTTTATTTTTTTACTGTATATATGTACCTATATTATCTTATTTCCTTTAATATCTTATTAATAAAAACCTTTTCCTACAAACTTATTTTTATTAATGCCACGCTGTGATCAGAGACATTGCTGAGATTGTTTCTCTCTGAATACTCAGCTTTATTTCTGATCAGGCGTTTCTTTTGGGAGAAAACTGATCTTTGTATGAATTTTCTAGCCACTACCGTGAGCAAGAAATATACAACTACACTACCGTGGGGAGCACAAAATAGACAACCACACTACGGTGAAGAGCAAGAAATCAGCCAACCACAATACCTTGGGCAACAATCATAATTTGAATTGTTTATTTTTTATTTAATAAATAAATATACCTTTATTATAACTTAAGTTTTTTATTTCCTGTACCTTTCTGGGATTCGTGTAGAGAGAGAATGAGTGGGGTACGAATGAATGAAAATGAATGGGGACCGAACCCAGGACTGAGCAGTCGAACAGAACAGCATTCTGATGGATGTACCGGTGGGCGGCTTTCTGTTGAATACCCTTAGGGATATTCGAAGAATCTCTCCCCTCGTTTCTTCCAGCAGTATGGTCCTAATCTCCCTAGTCCTAATAAGATTAGGACGTTACAACAATGAGAAAAGAACTAGACGAATGCGATGTAGGAATCTCTACAAAAGGCAGAAAAATCATTAACCTGCGATACGCAAAAACGATACTAGCAGCAAACGAAGTCAAAATGACTACCACTATTGAACGGTTAAGCCAAACATTAGGTAAATACCGGAACAGAAATAATGATCGTAGATGAAGCAAATAATGATCTACCACACCATATGCCAAGTGGCGAAGTTTAAAGTAGTACATAGATTTGTATATTTGAGCTTTATGATAACCAACAATGGCAATACCTAGCTCCTCAGACATAAATCAAAGACTAGCAGTGGTCCAAACTGCAATAACTAAATTAACTAAAAAATGGAAAGACTAAACAATAGCAAGAAAGACTAAGCTTTGGTTAGTTAGTGTCCCTATGTTTCTCTTTGCTACGTATGTGGCTTTTCTGAAAAATCGATAGAAGTAAGATCGTCGCTTGTGAAATGAGGGTCTAAACACAAATTTTTTACGTGTCTTGAATAGAACACAGAACCAACCTGTCTATTTGAAAAAAAAAATAATATAAATGATAGGCTTGAGAACAAGGACTATGGAACTTTTGTAAAAGAAAAGGTAGAAGGCAAAAGATCAATAGGAAGATCACTAACCAGAGTAGACTAAATAAAGATTTTGGTGGGAAAATTCTTACATAAAATCGTACATCTGGTACAAAATCGCAGCCAATGAAAGCAGGAAGCTAGCAATATTTAGAGTTTTATCACGCCCCAACAAGTGCCCAAAAGATTAGAAGGAGGAGAAAAACAAGTAACAAAGTATGAACAAGAAAAAGCCAAAAGTGACTTATGAATGTAACAATCTATAGTAAAACACTCAGAAATGAAGTGCGTAAAATATGATTTTGTTGCATACAAAAGCAACATTTAAAGCAAAACAGTAACACAAAAAGTAAAAGCCTAGAAACCCTATTGCATGTACTTACCCTTTTTGTTGGGTTGGATTGCGTATAATATTCCTTGAAACCAGGACTCTGGTGGACGAAGACAGTTTTTACAAGTCCAAACATTTTGTTGTTCGTCGAAGTTGGCACAACGTTTTTGACAGACATTCTTTTGACATTTTGAGCATGTTACGTGGCAATCACCTCCTAGAATGTGATCTATAGACCGAAAATACTCTCCACATACGTCGCAATGCAGGTTACTTTTACTCTTACGACTACTGCAAATAAAAAGGTATATTAGCGTATATTATAAGAAATGTAAATAATCGTGTAAATACGTAAAATCAAGTACAGCGAAGTAAATATTTTCTAATCTCTAAAATTATATATATATATATATATATATATATATATATATATATATATATATATATATCTATATATATATATATATATATATATATATATATATATATATATATTTAGTTGATTTTTTTGGGCTTAGGTTTATAAAAAAGATTGATTTGACACTAAAACATTTTCATATATTTTGTCGATGTTTCGTTAGGAAATCCGTGCCTTTTTCAAGAAATAATATTGACAAGCATGTAAAAATTCGTAACTAACAAGTAGACGTCACAATTAACATAATATTAAAAACATAGGATATACCCACTATGTCACTACATAGTGGCAAACATTTTTTTACAGTTCGTCAATTCCAGTTGTTCTCAGAATTTCGATCATCTTTTAATGGTTAACGCAGTCAAAAGCTTTTCGATTATCAATAAAACATGCAGATTTATTTACATTTATGTCTCTGCATTGTTATATTAACAAATTTAAGACAAGAAGAGCGTCGCGTATTCATAATTCATTTCGAAATCCGAATTGAGTGTTTTTTCTATTGTATAATGGCTTTGGCATAGCCAATTGGTCAGACTATTTGTGGTACTTACAATTTTTGATTTATTACCTAAGCCTATTTATAATATAAATTTACAGGAAGTAATATGTTAGTATATACATTCAATTTTTGACATATTTACAATTTTTAATTTGAATACCTGAAACTACTTATAATTTAAATTTACAGGACGTTATGTATTCGTAGATACATTTTAATATCTGCTTATTATTTGAAAAAATAATTGTATTCAAATTAACAGGCAATGGACAATTTAGCTCAATTAGTTTTTCATACATCATTTTGATATTTTGTACTGTCCACACTCCAATATAAGGTGCTGCAGATCTGCCACGTTACCACAGGAGCAATATGGGTTATCAGTGATGCCTATGCTGTGTTTGTATGCAGGAGTGAGTGCGTGGTTTAATCTTATTATGTTTATTGTTTTTACAAATAACCTGTTTGTCTCATATTTGAATCATTTCTCATTGGGTATTAATGGTTGGCAAGCTCTAAAGTTTATGCTAGTTGTACTTTGGTTGTATAAACGTTGCTATCATTGTTTGCAGTTGTTTCTACTGATATTATCTATGTCTACTACTGGAAGAAATATGTTGTTTATATTATGTTTGGTTAATGCTGCAGATTTAGCTAATTTGTCGACTTCTTCATTTCCTAATATTCCAGAGTGTCCTTTTACCCAACAAATAATAATCGAACTACCTGCGGAAATAATATCATAATTCTTGATTTCTATTTCAATATGGTTAAATTGAGTGTTAATCATCTGAAACTCACACTTCTTGTAAATTCGTGTATGAATGGTTCTGGGAAAAGTTTTAAGGGATTTTTTGGATATATTAGGGGATTTCATTGGATTTTTTTGGTAATGTAGCGAATGTTGATTTTAGCCAATCTCATGGTATTTTACCTGTGTCATATATCTTATTGAATAGTGTTGTTATTAGGTCCAAGCTTTTACTTTCGTTGTCTGCAATTAATTTAAGTATTTCGACATTGATATTTTCTGGGTTGCTGGATTTTACGTTCTTCTGAGCTTTTACTGCATAAATAACTTCTTTTTTCATATTTTTGGAACTTTTTTCATTTTTATTCGATCATCCGTGAATGGTGGAGAACAAAGTCTATCATCACCAAGAAGGGTCTGAATTTATTCTCCTCATACCTCCAGTTTGTCTTATGTAGGTACCTATAATTATCTCGTTATTGTCACCTGTTCTACCTGTCATTTTTTTCACTTTTTTATTGACATTGAAAGTGTCGTGTCTTGCCTGAAGTTGTTCAATTGCTAGGCATTTGGTGAACATCCAGCTTTCTTCAGCTTCCCTTCACTTTTTTCTAATAATTTTATTGACTCCTCTTATGTCCATGAGGTCCATGATCTCTTGCCTTATCCATTCTTGTTTTCTGTTGTTTTTCGTAAACCCGATGTCGTCTTCTTATATCTTTGTTATTTTTGTTTTTAGAGCAGTCCATGTTACTTTAATGTCTATCTGTACCAAGTTCTCTAGCGTTTCTATTTCTTTCTGAACCTTGATGCTTGTTTCATTTTTCGTTTTAGGGTTCTTCAGTTGTGAGATGTCTATTTTTCTTTTCTCTCTTTTAACTTTAACAAACATGTTTGGTCTAAAATCCATTATAACTGGATTGTGATTGCTATGAATTGTAGCTCCAGGATATGTTTCAGTAGATTTTATGTACTTCTTAAAGTTGTTATCGAGCAAAATAAAGTCAATTTGATTTCTAAAAATTTGTTTGATGTTGTTTGGAGAAGGTGTTGGCTACTAACAGATTGTTATACACGCAGGATTGTACCAGCCTATTTCCCGTATTGTTTCTGGTACCGAGACCGTATTCTCCTATGTTGTCTCCTTCGGCACCAAGACTAATTTTGGCGCGTTAAAATCACCTATAATTATCGTTATCTCGCCTTTTTTGTCAGTCGCATTATTTTGTCTATATTGTTATAAAAGTTTTCAATTTCTTTTTCTGATTTGTCACTTGTTGGAGCATAGACCTGAATAACATAATTTCTGATACTAATATAGCTGTTCCATATTGATGTTCTGGGTCGGTTCCTCCTGACCAATCGATGTATCCATCTTTTGTTTTTGTTTTCCTTAATCAGACCATCTTACTTCACTTCCCCAAGATGTCTAATTTTATTTTTCTCATCTCAGCATCGGTGTTTGCATGTTTCCCAGCCATGAATAAGCTCCGTACGTTCCAGGTGTTCCGTACTTGTCATATATTTGGATTCTTTGTCCACTTCCTTGGACCTTAATAGTAGTTGACGGGGGATTCTTCTCACCCTCTATCCGTTTAAGGGGTGCCCCGAACTGAGGGCCATATAGTCATTCAAACTGCTCCAGTCATGCTCGTAGTATTTCAGTTTCAAGCTGGTCTAGGATCATTTCCTCTGCGCCTTGAGCTGATTCTGGTGATCATTGCTGCTCTTCACCAGGGAGGGATAGGAAATAGGTAACTAGATTTTGGAAGAACAAAGGGATAGGACACGTTTTCTCTCAGTAAGGTATTGAAAGCAAAGCATATCTCGCGTGGGCAGAGTCGTTTTCCTGAAGTAGGCCTATTCTCCACTGGGATCGTAGAAAAGTGTCTATCCGCTGCAAAAGTATGGAATAAGTTAACTATTTTAGAGACAGACGTCTTAAAAGACTTCAATTTTAATTTTTAAATAGAGTAGACTCCCTTTTAACCGGCTCCGCATTAACCGGCTATCGTATTAACCGGCCACTCCCCCTTCCTATTGTTTCGCGGGTGACACGATCATCAAACGCCACTTGGTGATCATCTCTTACCCACGGTTGTCAGTTCTGTTCTTGCTTTCGAGGAGAATTGAATTTTATTTTGGTAAGTCAACTTAACCGCGTGATTTTAAAAATTTACATCCATCGTCCCTCCCAATATTCTACAGATCACAAAAATCAGCATATATGAGCGCTTATCTATTCAAAGAATGGTTTGAGCATGAATTTGTTCTGAGAGTAACGCGCCATTTTAAGAGCGTAAATCTTTTCACTACAGCAGTCCTACTTGTCTCAACATATAAGACAGATGACATAAAAATTATCCCCCTAATGTGACAAGCTCCTTAAAGGACATAATTTACATGTTAGCTTCCGCCTTCCAAGAAATTCCTGCTTCTACTTTCGTTAAGTCTTGGCGGAAACTTTGGGCCAACAGTGAGGAACTTTTTGAGTTTCAAGAATCACACGAAGAAGATCTACCATCCTTCTTTAAGATCTCCAAACGTTATCCGAAAATGTTTAATTGCAGGCCAAATATATTGAAGAATGGAGAAACTGTAACGAGGAATTTAAAAACGAATTTTTGACAGACGACGAAATAATTACTCTAGCAACTCATGAAGAACCCTATGAAAATGAGGATACTGATGATGATGATGTTGACGGAGAGGAAAAGGTCGGCCACACCGAAGCAAGGGCTGCAATGGAGGTATCATTGAAGTATATTCAACAACAACCTAGGCCATCTTCAGTAGACTTCTTGGTTTTAAAAAGATTGAGAGATATAGCTTTTAAAAATTTACTTAATGTCAAGAAACAGAAGAAAGTTACCGATTTTTTAAAACAAGTTTGTAAAATATTTAAATATGTATAATATGTATATGTACATAGAAATAAATAGTATTTTTCAACTGTAAACTCCGTGATCTTTAATAATATACACCTTCCTGTACATGTGTTTGATATGTATGTACTCGATTTTTCTCATGAAAATACCTGCAGATGGGATTAATCGGCCATTTGGTTAACGGGTCAGGCGCTGGTCCCGAGGTGACCGGTTAAGAGGAAGTGTACTGTGGCCATTAATTGCTATATATTTGTTGGACATTAAGCTACAATTAAGCTCCAATTAAGTCGGCACCGTATGGAAAACGTTTGTTTTTGGTTTAATGAAGAAAATATAGTCTTTATGAAAAGTTCTGCATGTTCTTAAACCTAAAATGCAATTATCAAATATTACCTTTTTTAAGTCATACAAACGAGTTGTCAAAAAATATAAATTATTGTGGAAATGAAATAAATTAGATTTTAGGACATTCTAGAGCAACTTTTTGTAAATAATAACTTTTCTTCATAAAATTAAAATAAAAGCTAGCCTGTCTGAACCGTAAAAAAAGTCTGTAAAAGTCTACACCGTATACAAAATTATTTTTAGTTTTATGAAAAAAGTTATCCTTTTTGTTATATTTACTCTTGTTATTGTTACTCTTACATAAAATTAATTTTTTTTTGACAAACCGTGTATATGACTGAAAAACTTTAATATCTGATGATTGTACTTTAAGTTTTATATAATTAA